GGGACATGCTGCCCTTGTTTTTGTTGTCGTTTCTGTGAGCAGAGCCCACAAATCACCTTAGCTAGCACAGCTTGGTGTTCTCATTCTTGTAAAGTCTCTTTGTGAAGATTCTTGGGCAGTCTGAATTCTTGGTACCTGGTTCACATCAGTGGTCAGTGATAGTCTGCAGAAGTGGTATGAGCACATCGTTCTTCGACCCTTTAAGAACAGAAAGCAGATAAAATGAATGGTCAAAAACCCACTGGGCCCTGGTTCTCTCATGCTCAGGGGTGAGCGCTTCCTCTCTCTCGCTCAGTTGGAGAAAACCAGGAATGCCTTTGTGCCTCGGTGTGACTGGGACACACAGCGCTGCCTCCTCCTACCCCATCTTGTCGGCTGCTCCAGGCCCAGCACTGGGAAATGCCGAGTTAAAGCTCCTTCAATCCTCAAGGCCTGACTGATCACCCTCAATGAAAGTTTCCTCAAATTCGCTAACACCCAGCACACAGGGAAGAAGAAAGTATTCTTGTGTGATTTTGTCAGAATTCATGGATGAGTTTTCACAAAATTCATCAACCTCATTTCACAAATGGGAAAATCAAGGGGACCTGCCCAAGGGCACAGAGTCATTTAGCACCTTGGGGCAGGGTCTCCTTCTCCCTGGATTGTCATCCCTCCGCGGCTCACAGCAGCTCTCTCTAGGTATTGAGGAAATGGGAACTGAATTAGGCTCGACTGGACTCTAATCATTCCTAGCCAAGTGCTTTTTCTTTCCAACTACTTGGCAGCAAGCTCAGTGGGATTGGAGAAGCACATGGATCATTTTCAAAAATGCTGATACTGGGACCCGCCTCCAGAGATTGTAACAGAATTGGTCTGGGATGTCTCCTGGACCCTGAGATTTTCAAAAGCTCCCAGAAGATTCCAATGTGCACCTGAGCCAAGAACCACTGTTCCAGATCATAGGGCTGTGCAGGGGTTAGGAGAACTATAGATCTTTCGTGCCGTGGTTTCCCGTCATCCTCTCTATGGGTTTAAAGATTTGACTCAGGAAGCAAATGGAGAAAGACCTTCAATTCGCCCTTGGAAATAAGCTGTCCGTCCCCCACCTTTAAAAGACACAGAAAAGGACAAGGTTTGGAGATCAAGTTAAATGTCCAATTTATTTTTATAACTTGAAACCAGAACAAACTTGGTTTTGAACAAGCGTACAAATGAAATGGCAGACACATGCTGAACTCAACATTGTGACATTAAGGAAAAAAAAGAGGCCCAAAATCTTGTACAGAGAATAAAGGAACAATAAATATTTTACTAAGCCATATTGAAATGACCTCCTGTCATCTCAACATTTTATCCATAATAAAAAAAAAAGTGCCTGTTTCTTAAACAGAGCACAAATACCAAGCAATAATAAATAGTTCCGAACTTGTAGTAAAAGACAAAACCTCCAAGTAAACAACAAAAGCTCATACAATAAGTAATAGAAAAGGTAATAAAAATATTTTGCCTTGCCAGTACAAATGCAAACAACTTAAATCAATGGGCCTTTGCTTTGCAGGGCTGAGTTACAAGGAGCACCAAAATCACGAGTTTGCCTGTGTTTCACGAGACCTTCGGCTGACGGTTACTTAGGACCGGGATGAAAGGCTGATTTCCTTACTTCTCAACATTTTCCTTAGAGTAATTCAGTCTCCTCCTCTCCCCATGAAAGACCCTCTCATGGCAAGTGGCGGGTTCCGATTGGGGGCAACTTTGAACAAAGTTGTGGCAGTGTGGAAACTGGCCCGAGGTCGGCTGGGTCACCCACGCTAGAGGCCTCTCTCTCTGGATCACCTGCTTCCGTGTTAGTTTTTTAAACATGAAACAGAAGCAAGATTCTCTCTTCTCTGCAGTCAACAGAGACACACAAAGCTTGTGCTTTGGGATGGCTTAGTCCTGGCATTCTGGTAAGCTGGTGAGCACTGGCCAACCGTTATCACTAGGGGAGGACCGCCCTGGAGGCACTCCAGGACCTCAACGGGGCATCCAAAGGCAATGGCAGCCCCCTGAACTGCAGGTAGGAAGCTGAGATCTCAGCTTTCTCTCCCATTCCCTCCCCTTTCTTTAACTTTGCAAAGGTAAGTGGCAAGGAGGAAAGAGTGCATCAAACAGAAAAGCTGCATTTGGTAAGGAATTGCCCTAAAGGATGCTTGGTTATACTTTCACAACCTGAAATAATGGTTTCTTAACATTTCCTGAAATAAAAAATGGCTTCCTGATATAGGTATTTTATTTAAAAATGCATTATTCCCTCATCCAAAAGACCACCACTTTATCTTAAAGCTACTTGGCTTTACAAAAAATAAAAATTAAAAAAATTAAAAATTAAAAAAAAAAATTCAAAGAAAGGGTTAGGGGAGGGACAGACAGGAAGAAAGAAAAATAAATAAATAAAAATGTTTTTTAAATGAGCAAAGGACCAATGGAGGATGAAGGATGGAGAGGAAATTCAGGGGAAGGAGAGAGAACAAGATACGGAAAGGCACCGAATTCATCCCAGGCCCTCACATTCGGAAACTGAGGGAATGTAGGTTTCAGAGAGCAAAGCAGCAAAGCAGGGAAGAAAGACAAGAGGCCAACACTCTCCATGGCACGAAAGGTCCTGGCTGTGTTGGGGTCTCCTTCCTGAAATCCAATTTGTGCCGGTCTCTACAGCAGGTCACTTCACCTGGACCCAGCTGAATCACCAGCTCCATGTATGACATTTGCGTTTGTTTCACAATTTCTCAAGTACTCAAGAAGCTCAGTTGGCATTGCTTTCTGCTGGTACGGGCGGGAGAGGTGGTGGTGGTGACCGCCACGGAAGTGATGGTAGAGGAAGATGTTTTCTCGCTCTCTCTCCTCATCTTTCCTCTTACAGATGGCCTCTTAGAGAAAGGGAGGACGATGTGGAATGTTACTGACATCTTTACAAAAACTGGTTTTTTCCCACTCAACACAAATAAAGAATTTCCCATCCGGTCTGCTGTGGCCACACCAAGGAGCCTTGATGCAAGGTTCGGGGCGTTCAGAGAGAAGCCCAACATGAACGGTTCTCTGTGTAGGCCAACTCCGACAAAAAATATATACAACTAAATGATTTGTGAGCCAAAGCATTTAACTACTTCCTTTTGTTTCTTTTTCTCAAAGGTTGTCAAACAACCCTTTTTCTCCTGTACAATAGGACTTAACATACAAATGTGTGTGTGGTTTTTTTTTTTTTTTGCAATATTTTATCCTGCCAAATTAAAAAAATATATTATGGCAGCCTGTTTGTTTTTGTTTTTTTTTTTCTTTTTATTTCCAAATTCACTAACAAAAAGGTACATTAAATCCCTTTAAAAGGACAAGCTTACAGTTAAAAAATTACGAGCTCCAGTAAAAATACAGCAAGTGCCTACATCATATGAACCAACCAATATATCCATTCCAGAGGGAGGCGGGAAGAGAAAAATAAGTACAGGTCAGAAATGTGATTTTTTTTTTTCTGCAAAGCAATAACAATATTAAGCACTTTTTTTCTACATACTTTTTCTACATGGTGTAGCAATCCCCTTTGAATCCCCAAATACAAGTTTCTATACATTTTTTTAAATAAAAATTCAACACCCAAGGCAGAAAAAAATTTACTAAAACTCCGACTTTACAGTTACTGTGACAAGAACAAATTTATAGACCCACCATTTAAATTTTACTGCAACATTTTCAAGGAAAAGAAAAGGGTATTTTTTTTCTTGTTTTGTAAAATGCCCAGGCATTCTCGATTATTACAAATACTGGTCCACTTTTACAGTAATCAAGAAATTTTAATATATATAATATATACTAAAACCCCGTCACCAAAAGAAAACAATATACACGCGGCCACTGTGGCATTTTTGTATAACCTATTAAGCAAACTTTGAAAAAAAAAAAATGATCGCTCCAACACACATACACACAATTTTTTTTTACCCTTGTATGTACCCAATACTGTAAACGTATTTTTAAGACAGAGTGCACTAAATTTAACTTTAGAAAAAATTAGCCGTTGTTCCTGAATTGTTTTTGTTTTGCTTTTCATTCAACAAGATCAACTTGTAACTTGCGTCACTTGAGTTTTAATTCAGCAGTAAATCACCTCCACTCCATATCTAAGCAGCGTTGTCCTAAAAACAAAAGGGGCTGAGGATACTTCAGCTAATGGATGTCCAAGGTTGTGCTGGGTTTATTTCTTCATTTGATTGGGTCTTATGGCATTTCATATCCTCTATCTTCAACCAGAAAAAAATTTTTTTTATGTTTTACTTAAAGTAAATGTGGCTTTGTTAGTTTCTAAAGAATGTACTTTTCTTGTTTTACTTTTTTAAAAAGTCTTTTCATTTCAAAAAAAAGTTTTGCATGTGTCTCAAGAGACTCAAATAGGAAGATCAGTTTTCAAGGCACTCACATCAAATTGAATGGCAGTAGAAAAACTGTCCTAGGAATTATTATTTTATTTTGTTCTTTATAGTGCCAGTATTGTGAATGCCACGCTTAGCAATACTGACACTCAATCTCAGCTGTCCCTTACAGTTTAACCCACCTCTGGGCCAAAGAGAAGAATATGCTGCAATTTCTTGTTTAGAAGCCATTTAATTTAAATGCGAACAAAAGCTTTAAAGTGCGGGTCAACAGAATTCAAATGTCTAATCTGAACAGTTAAATGTTTAGTACCTTCCAACCTAATGAGATAGAAAACAAAACAAAAAAAAACTGGGAAGTAACGCTGGGTACCTTCTGATGGAACTCCTCCCCTGCTTTTTCAGTAAAAGGGAATAGAAATTTGTAAGATCCCCACTCCACCCATCCCTACAATATCATCAGTGTGCATTAAATAAGAGAACACTAACTTCAATTCATTAGGGTATTCGTCTGCTTGGGAAATGATCAATGACCATTTGCTGCAACATAGGATTTGAGATTTATGTGGTGGGGTGATTTAAAAAGAGAGAGCGAGAGAGGGGAGAGAGAGGAGAGAGAGAAAGAGAGAGACAGAGAGAGAGAGAGAGAGAGAGAGAGAGAAGCCATCAAGCCAGAAAAAAGCCTAAAAGAACACCACTGGTTTCTTCCTTTCTGTGTCACTGCAGGCCACCCCATCTCCCCTAAAAGGTACCCTCAGCCCATTTTATTTAGCCTAATCTACAGCGAATAGCAGCCATGGCACCCCAGGGCACACCAACACTCCAAGAAAAGGATAATATCTGCTGGTCATGCACAACCTCAGAATGCTGTCAGGCCATTTCCCAGAGGAGCCCTCCAAAACCCTATCTCTGGCGGTGCTGAGTCTGTGGGGTGCCTTCCCCAGCACCACCAGTGAAGATTTCCCTTATGTAATGTGAAAGCTGAAATCAACACAGAAAAGGCCGCTTCACTTGGGACGTCATGAGTGCTACAACTCCATTCCAATTCTGAAACAAAGTGCTACGACTTTAAAGATTGTTATCCGCTGTACATCCACAACCCCCACCCCAAAAACAAAAAATCAAAAAAACTAAAACAAAACTGCATGCCACTTTTTATTTCAGGACAAAAAAAAAGAGGAAGGAATAAAAAGATAAACAACTTTAAAAGTCATTTGAATGTTGGCTTCTTCACAAGAAATTACACATGCTTAGCTTAAATTTCAAAAAAGCAGCACCACCCCTCCCCCCAAATTATAATTTAAAAGATATGCTTCCCCTCTAACATTGCTTGCGAGTCATTGCTCAGGCTACTACCGGGTTAAAAGAAAAAAAAAACAAAAGAAGAAGAAGAAGAAGGGATGAATACCCAACAAAATCTCTCAAAGGAAGTCAAACAGAAAGAAGAATAATAAAAAGTACCTGCACATGCCAAAAAAATTACAAAACCCAATAAATACAGAAATTATTGCACAGTTAAAAGGCTCCACAATTTGTACTGCCTTAATCAACCCTCGGGTTTCCATAGGACTTCGCAGACACAGGTTAGGTTGGAGTGCCGCCTCCCCCGGGCCCCGGGGACACGCGGGGTGCGGGGTGGCGGTGACACGGAGGCAAGTCAGGTCAGCATTCTCTCGGTTGGCAACGGTTCCACTGTACAGGGGCGCGGCGCCGGGGCCCGCGCGCTTAGCTCCTCTCGGCCTGCTCGATTTTGACGTCGTTAGTCAGCAAGTGCTCGCCGTGCCACTTTTTCATGTGTTTCTCCAGGGTGCTGTAGACGCTGAAGGGCATCTGGCAGATGTCGCAGCGGTACACCTCCTTGCCGATCTGCCCGTGCGTCTTCATGTGGCGCGTGAGCTTGCTGCTCTGCGCGCACGCGTAGTTGCACAGCTCGCACTTGTAAGGCCGCTCGCCGGTGTGGCTCCGCCGGTGCACCGTCAGGTTGCTGCAGTTCTTGAACACCTTGCCGCAGTACTCGCACGTGTCGCTGCGGCGGCCCTCCTTGGAGCTGGGCCGCCCGGGCCCGGGCCCGCCCAGGTGCGGGGTGCTGCCTCCGCTGGCCGTGCCGCTGCGGCCCGACAGGCCGCCGTCCAGCAGGTCCCCGGGCGGCGTGGAGAAGCGCAGGCTGCCGTTCTCGGACGAGTGCTCGGACGACGTGGCGAAGGGCGACTGGCGCGCGTCCGTGAAGCCCAGGAAGGGGTCCTTCATGAAGTGCCGCGACGCGGCGTAGCCCACCAGCCACTGCGAGTACACGTTCTCGGACGGGATGAGCGCGGCGGGCGGCAGCTCCAGGTCCTTCTCCACCTTGATGCGCTTCGCCGCGCTGTTGAGCCCGGGGCTGGGCAGCGGCGCGGGCTTGCGCGGGAAGAGCCCCGGGAAGGGCTCGGCGCCCGGCGCGAAGCCGCCCCCGCGCCCGTTGACCGCGCCGCCCGCGCCCGCGTCCCCGCAGCCGCCCGCGTCGTCGTCATCGCCCGCGTCCCCGCCGCCCGCCGCGCGCTTCAGGAAGGCGCCGCGCTTCTGCTTGTCGGCCAGGAGGTCGCCGTACTGCGGCAGCGCGCCCAGGCCCACGTTCTCCATGACCTTGCCCAGCACCAGCGCCTTCTCCTCCGCCAGCGCCTTGGCCGCACCGCCCCCCGCGCCCGGCACCCCGGCCACCCCGCCGCCGCCGTTCTCGCGGTTGCGGCTCAGCTCCGAGTCCATGCTGAAGCTCGACTCGGGCCGGCTCTCGTTCTCCAGCAGCAGCTCCTCCTCCTCCTCCTCCTCCTCCTCGTCCTCCTCCTCCGGCTCGTGGCCCAGCGACGGGTCGCTCTCGTGGTGGCGGAAGTCGCCGTCGGTGGCCTTGAGGCCCTCGCCCGCCAGCTCGCTGGTGCCGGGCTCGGGGGAGCTGGCGGCCGAAAGCCCGTCGTCGGAGCGGCCGGCCAGCGAGCCGGCCTTGTGCATGTGCGTCTTCATGTGGCGCTTGAGCTTGCTGGCCTGCGAGCACGCGTGGTCGCACAGCTGGCACTTGTAGGGCTTCTCGCCCGTGTGGCTGCGCCGGTGCACGATGAGATTGCTCTGGAACTTGAAGGTCTTCCCGCAGAACTCGCACGACTTGCTCTTGGCCGGCGGCTGCGGGGGCGGCGTGCCACCGGGGGGCATGGGCGGCAGCGGCGGCGTGCTCAGGAACGGGGACTTGGGGCTGGGCTGGAAGGGGTTCAGGAGCCGGTGCATAGGGTTGCCGCGGCCCGGGGATACGGGCGGCGGCGTGGAGCTGTTGCCCGCCAGCTCGCGGAGCCGCCGCGAGAAGTCCATGGCGGGCGAGTCGATGGCCATGGGGTTCAGGCGCATGACTCGGTCGAAGGCACTGGGGTGCTGGGCGACGAGCCCCATCTCCTCGGCACTGAGGCGGTGCGGGTCCAGGTGGTGGCGCGGCGGGGGGCTGAAGAGCGGCGGCGTTCCCGGCAGGCGGCCCTCGCCGAAGCCCGGGTGGTCGCGCAGGATGGGGCCCGTCATGCGCAGCAGGTTGAAGGGGTTGCTGTCGCCCAGGAAATTCATGAGCGGGGACTGCGCCACGGCCTCGGGCCCGAGCGGCGGCGGGATGGTGAGCCGCGGCGTGAGCGAGCTGCTGGCCGGCCCGGGCTCCAGGTAGATGCGGAAGCCATGCGTGTTCTGCGCGTGCTGCAGCAGGAACCACGCGCTGTTGAAGGGCTGCTTGCATGTTGTGCAAATGTAGCTGGAAGGCTCATCTTTACCTGGGGAGACACACGGACAGAAAGGCAGAGACAGCGTGAGAAGCGGTAGCGGGCCGTGGGCACCGCGGGGCCGCTGGCCTGGAGTGCGCGGCCCGGCCACATCCTGGATCCCCGTGCCCTGCCTGACAGGGGCGGCAGGGCGGCTTGCAAGCAGGCCCGGCCTTGTCTCCACTCGGCTGGGGGGGCTGGAGAGGCAGGGAGTGTGGGCAGGCGGCCCTGGCACCTGGACGTCCGCCAGTTATTTCAATTCTGTAAGGCCCGCCTTGCTCCCCCAAAGGAAAGGGGTTCTTATCTCCATTACCTCCGAGGCCACGGAGATCGTGTCTGTGAGAATATGATCCTGTAGTAGGAATTCTGTCAAGGTTGGACTGTGTAAAGGCCCCGGCAAATCCCAGCCCTCCAGCATGCTCCCACCCGAAACCATCTAGGCCAGGGTTTCTCAGTCAAGGCACCACTGACATTTACATCCTAGTTCTTTGGGCGGTGGGGACTGTCGTGCGCATTGCAGGATGTTTAGCAGCGTCCTCTGCCTGCACCCACTAAACAGATGCCAGAAGCACCCACCTCCCCAAGTCGTGAGGACCAAATGCCTCCAGATCTTGCCAAATCTTCCCAGGGAGGGGGGCAAGATCACCGCCCTGCCCTCTCTGAGAACAACCAATTCTGACAATATTTGATTCCAGGAAGTTGTACAAAAACACAAATCAAACTGTACTATCCTGAGAACTTTTTTTTTTTTTAGACAGAGTCTCCCTCTGTCCCCGAGGCTGGAGTGCAGTGGCGCAATCTCAGCTCACTGCAGCCTCCGCCTCTGGGGTTCTAGCAATTCTCCTGCCTCGGCCTCCGGAGTAGCTAGGGCTACAGGCATGCACCACCACGCCTGGCTAATTTTTGTATTTTTAGTAGAGACGGGGTTTCACCATGTTGGCCAGGATGTTTTCCATCTTCTGACCTTGTGATCTGCCCTCCTTGGCCAACTTTTTTTTTTTTTTTCTTTTTTAAAGAGAAATAGCTGCAGTACCTCTGCAACATTTGGGATTTTTAGCTATAGGAAATTCTCCTGTTTCCCAAACCACCATCTGTGCAGAAAACACCATACAACTGAACATGGATTCGTAGGAAAGGAAGTTTAACCTGCTGTGAAGATCCGCTACTACTGTGACAGCTGCCACCCCGTGTCCTCCCACACACGCCCAAACCCCGCTTGGAATTCAACCTTCAGACCCCCAGGGAGGGTGGGGCACACTGGCCTAAATGAGTATTTCAAAGTCCTCTGCCAGAATACCAAGGAATGAAAGAACATCGTCACATCTGACAGGGCAGTCGGGATGAAGAGTGGCAAATGCTGACGTGTCAGCAACTAGCTCTGGTGACACGGGCAGCAAATTGTAGCGGACACTCATGGCACAGAGCCAAAACGTCATGGTCTTTGTCTGTCACTGAGACAGTCACAAAATGGAGACGGCACATTTCCTCCAGAACCCGTCCTGAGGGCGTCCTCCCACACCTGTGGGTGAAGATTGCTGCGCTTCCAGCGGGTACCTCTCCTAATGCTCCACGTGAAAGAGATGGTGCAGACATGGCCGGCTTCTCTCGCCGCACTCACTAGCTGGGGAAGCAAGAGGAACAGGAATCCCAGCTCAAACCCAGCAGAAGACACAGCATACGAGATCTTGAAAGACCCCTTTTGTTTTTTCAAACTTTCTTCCACCTGGAAGATTTGAACGCAGATGCTGAAGTACAGGAGCCGCAGTCTCTGGTGAAGCCAGATGTGCAAATGAATGACCATACTCAATATTGGTAAGGCGCGGTGGGAAGTGGAGAAAACACTCCCGGTGTGAGCCTCTCCACCAATCCATGACAGGACTTCGGAAATCCTAGACAGACGGCGTTTTTGTTTTCCACCCACTAATTATGTTTCTGGAAGGCTGCACACTTAGCAGTGTTTATAGGCACATAAACCTTCATTTGGAAACCATCTTTTAAAAACCAAGTGACTTGAGGACCAAGTACCCTGAATTCCGTCCAGGGGCTTCAGTCTTGAGTGTGGCCCGTGCCTCTGCCTGAAACTGAGTGAGCAGGCCAGTTTCTGTGGGGCCAGGACCTCCCCAAGACACCCCATGCCTGCAACGTCACAGAAGGCTTTGTGCCGTCTGAGGGGCAGGGTGGAGATTCCCCTACGACCTCAGAACCAGTTAGCCCAGGATAGCAACACGAGAAACCAAGCCGTGGTTTTACGAGTTCGGCATTACATAGGGATTCTTTCACTCTCCTCTCCTGTTCTGTCTGTGTGGCTGGTGATGAGAAGACAGTGATACGGAAGACAGAAATGAACAAGGAATTCTGAAGTTTGGCCTCATCTCTCGTTTAAAAACTGCTCAAGGAGAACCTCTGAGGCTTTCTTCTTTCTCCAGCATGTCTCTTGTATTTTTAGTAAAGACGGGGTTTCACCATGTTGGCCAGGATGGTCTCGATCTCCTGACCTTGTGATCTGCCCACCTCGGTCAACTCTTTTTTTTTTTTTTTTTTTTTTTTGGATGTCTGGGTCATTTCCCTCTCTCAGTCTTCCAGGTAATTCAGTTCCCCCCATGAAGGAGCCCCTGAGGGGAAGCCTCCCAGCTTGGATAGGGCAGGGACGCCTTCCCAAGGCCCTGGGTGGCCGTGATTCTCCCTGTAAGGCCACACCAACACCACAGCCCTCCCTTTCTGCACACCCTCAGCGAACAGAGGAAGCGCCCAGCTTCTCTGGGCAGCATTTCTGTCCTCAGCTTATTAGTGAATGTAGCTGGGGAACATCACGCCTTAGCTCAGACAGCCTCGCAGGAGAGCTGGCCAGATGCCATATTTAGACACCTCCTCACACCCTTTTTGGGAATTAGAATAAATAAGTAATAAAAAAGAAGAGAAATAAACATCCCTTTCTGACACAGGAGCTAATAACGCAAATGAAGTGTCCCTTCCTCCAGGGTCATAGATTTTCAAATTAAAGAGCGTTCCTGTACCCTGTACCGCCCTTCAGCCGCTCTGATTAATCGATTCACTGCTCTCTGTGGCTCCGGTCCTTCGTGTTTTGAAGTCGGGCCACCTCCCTTCCCCCAATCTCTTTTTCATCATCTCTTTCCCTGGGAAGTGCTCCAAAACACTTCCTGTTTCTTGATCTAGGTGGCTACAGATTTTCTGAAAAGTTCTGTGGCTGGTGAGGGAGGAATGTGGCTATCAGAGGAAAATGCAGAGCTCCTAGGCAGGCCAGAAATGAAGGTGGCTCTACAGCTGAAGTGGCCACATCCCAAGGTTTTCAACTCAAAATGGCAGCTACTGAAGTCAGGTGCTGAACAGCTCAAGTGTTTCCACTTCTTGTTTAAATACAAAATGCTTCTGGCTCGGCATCATGGCTCACGCCTGTAATCCCAGTACTTTGAGAGGCTGAGGTGGGCAGATCACTTGAGGTCAGGAGTTCAAAGCCAACATGGTGAAACTCCGTCTCTACTAAAAATACAAAAATTAACCAGATGTAGTGGCAGATGCCTATCATCCCAGCTACTCGGGAGGCTGAGGCCAGAGAATCACTTGAACCCAGGAGGCAGAGGTTGCAGTGAACTGAGATGGCACTACTGCACTCTAGCCTGAGCGACAGAGCAAGACCATCTCAAAAACAAAACAAAACAAAACAAAATAAAAAACCTTCTAAAACTAACTTGGAGCAGCACAGGGAGGAAGTTCCTGTCCATAATTTGCCATCAGGTGAAGAGTGATGTGATCATCAGGCTGGATTTCGGGGCCACCTGTCCTGCCTGGGAAGCTCTTACTGGACCCGTGTCTGTGAACTGCTTTCGTTCCAAGACTTCCCTCTGCACAATGGCAAGATTTCACGGCAGGTGACAGCCTCCCCAGAATCTGACGCCTTCTGATACCCTAAACATTGCCCAGCCCTCAAAGGCCCACCCTCGATAACTCTCTTTCCTATCCCCCTTCCCTTCTTTTTTTAATAAAATGTTCATTTCCTTATTATTGCTCCAGGGTTATCTCTTGCCCAGAAGTAGCCCTGAGCATGGGCCTTGCTCACTTTTAGGAACTGAACATTGTCAGAAAGTCTTCGAAGAGCCACACAGAACATTTTTCTATTTGAAAACCCGCTAAATATTTTAAACATGAGGCACGCAGTCTCGAATGGCTTTAAGTGCAACAGAAGACCCTTGGTGAGCAGGCTCCTTCTGACTGGGGGCTGGCCCACTCCCCTTCCTGGGACCAGATGTTTCCTGGCTGTCACCCGCCTCCTGGAACTGAGGGCCACCTGCCCACAGGTGAGCTGGAGGCTGCACGGTCGAGAGGGGTGACAACTTCATGCTAGCGGCCCAGACAGGCTGCTGAGAGTCCCACTGATAGGTCAAGGCGTAGATTATTTAGAAGCGATTTACCCAGCAACATCAAACCTGGCCTACAGACCTAGAAACGTCAGCTGCATTTTACTCACTAAGTCACGCTTGGCGACTCAGATCCAGCGCCTCGGCCTCCCTTGCTTCCTTCCGTCCTTCCTTTCTCAGACATTTTTGTATCCATTGACAGAAACCCACACTGGATCTTCTTTGCTCTGCTGGCTCTAGACAGAAACCCTGGACATCTTTCTCAAATGCAGAACGCTGCCCAAGATCTCTGGGTCACGAGAGCCCTGGACAGCAGCAATGCATCCATACCCCTCACCTTGCTGTCCCCAGAAGGGGGAATTCAGTCGAGTCATTTAACCTCTCTGAAACTTGATCTCCTCATCAATAGAATGGGAACAATATACCTGGCTCCAAAGAGGGCAGAGGAGGCCGAAGGAGCTTCTGTGTGTGGGCACAGCCTGTAAATCGCACACGGCTGTGCAGATGTTCCAATGGGTTTTGCACATTTTGTTTTTTATGATCCATCCTTGTACCTGGCCACGGAGTTTCAGGGATGACATTCAGTCGAACTCCAGCAATAATGAAACCCTGGAGGACATTTAATGCAGCCTGCCTCAT